GGAAGCAGATTCCAGAAAAAAAACGGGAGATAAAGTGGAAACTGTTCATTCGTACATGCGAGCGTGTGTGTTGCCTTGGAACCTGTACACCAGTTTCAAAGCGTTATATGACAAAGAGTGCTGGGAAGACGGGACACCACGAGCGTAGCTCTCATCCTGTAACTACACTTAGGTAATTACCAGTTGATTGACAGTTGAGAGGTGGGACCAAAGAGCCAGAGCTCAACGCCCGCAAGCACAAATTGGCGGGTGAGTACCTTGCGATGTTTCCGGGGCTTAGCGTCCCTATGTGAGCCGGTCTTCGACCAGGTCTCATATATATATATATATATATATATATTAGTATATTTTGGTAGCAGTCTTTCCTGTAGACATATATTATTAAATATGACCGAAAAATGTAAGATTAATAATTCTAACACGAATTTTCTCAATCTTTCGTACATTACGCTTCACTGTTGGAGGTAAATCAAAAATCACTTCTCCAAAATTCATTTTTATTTCTAGTCTGACGCGACACGGGCGCGTTTCGTAAAACTTATTACATTTTCAAAGACTTCACAAATACACAACTGATTAGAACTTACGTATCTCTGATTTTATATCTACATTTGAGTGAGGTGGGAGGGGTGATGTGGCATTAACACAAGACAGAACAAGAGGGGATATTAATAGGGTATTAAAAGTATCAACACAAGACAGAACAGAAACAATGGGTATTGAATAGAAGTGTTTGTAGAAAGCCTATTGGTCCATATTTCTTGATGCTTCTATATTGGAGCGGAGTCTTGAGGTGGGTAGAATATAGTTGTGCAATAATTGGCTGTTGATTGCTGGTGTTGACTTCTTGATGTGTAGTGCCTCGCAAACGTCAAGCCGCCTGCTATCGCTGTATCTATCGATGATTTCTTTGTTGTTTACTAGGATTTCTCTGGCGATGGTTTGGTTATGGGAAGAGAAGATGTCTCTTCCCATAACCAAACCATCGCCAGAGAAATCCTAGTAAACAACACAGAAATCATCGATAGATACAGCGATAGCAGGCGGCTTGACGTTTGCGAGGCACTACACATCAAGAAGTCAACACCAGCAATCAACAGCCAATTATTGCACAACTATATTCTACCCACCTCAAGACTCCGCTCCAATATAGAAGCATCAAGAAATATGGACCAATAGGCTTTCTACAAACACATCTATTCAATACCCATTGTTTCTGTTCTGTCTTGTGTTGATACTTTTAATACCCTATTAATATCCCCTCTTGTTCTGTCTTGTGTTAATGCCACATCACCCCTCCCACCTCACTCAAATGTAGATATAAAATCAGAGATACGTAAGTTCTAATCAGTTGTGTATTTGTGAAGTCTTTGAAAATGTAATAAGTTTTACGAAACGCGCCCGTGTCGCGTCAGACTAGAAATAAAAATGAATTTTGGAGAAGTGATTTTTGATTTACCTCCAACAGTGAAGCGTAATGTACGAAAGATTGAGAAAATTCGTGTTAGAATTATTAATCTTACTTTTTCGGTCATATTTAATAATATATATATATATATATATATATATATATATATATATATATATATATATATATATATATATATATATATATATTTTTAACCCACTTACCTGTGTGAGAATGTGTGCGAGAATGGGGGGACGAGAAAATGAGCGAGTGCGTATATGGTGATGAAAGTGAGGAATGGATACATGTCAGCGCATTCTACATGACGAGTGTGTGTTTCAAAGCACGCATGTATCATATATATGGGTGTGTTTTGAAATGCATTAAAACTCAACTATTTGGCTCAAAGGGTAAGCATCTTCTAGGCTTTGTCTAGATCATATAAAAGTGTGTGTTTATGTGCATAGAGACACATGGATATCAAGTATGGGGGAAGGTGAATGCATGTTAATGTGTGAATGCCATTCTTAAAATATTATACACACACACACACACATATATATATATTTTATTTATTTATTTTACTGTATTTGATTGAAAGTGACCACATTCTTAGCATTGTTGACTTTGCTGTTGAGGCATTTGATGCAAGCAACAATCTTCTTTGTGTCAGCTTTGAGTTGGGTGATGAGGTTATGGTCAGATGACTCTAACCAAAAACTTTAACTCAATCTATTATAAGACGAAAAAAGACAGCAGGCTTAATAACGAAGAACAGAACAAACCCGCCTCTCCAGAGAGCCAACGTGATATACCAGTACACGTGCCTTCATGAACGGTGGCAACTTTTGTTCTGCCTATGTGGTACGACCCCTACTAAACCTTGGAGAAGGTCGACTTGTCACCTACAAGCAGGAGCGCCAGACAACCACGTGCGTAATAATTATGAAGTGGTCCTCGCCAGAGGTGGGCCTCCATTACACACAGGGTGCCAGAAAAATGATTAAGGAACACACAGAAATACTGGATTCTGCAAATGATGGCAGGAGATTGAATAGTCTGGAAGGTATCCTCAATTAAAGACCTAACATAAACATAGATAACAATGACTTTGCCTCACACGCACAAGGGGGCTTATGCACACGCACAAGGCGGCTTGTGCACACTCACAAGGGGACACAGGTGGACGCTGAGTTCCCAAATGAGCCACAGAGACATTAGAAAGAACTTTTTCAGTGTCAGAGTGGTTAGTAAATGGAATGCACTAGGAAATGACGTGGAGGAGGCTGACTCCATACACAGTTTCAAGTGTAGATATGACAGAGCCCAGTAGGCTCAGGAATCTGTACATCAGTTGATTGACGGTTGAGAGGCGGGACCAAAGAACCAGAGCTCAACCCCAGCAAACACAACTAGGTGAGTACATCCACCACTGAGGCCTAGACCCCACCCAACCAACCAACAGATGATGACATTATAGCAGAGGAAACCCCCCCCCCTATGCAGGCGAGGAGTCACAATAACGTGGCTGAAGTATGTTGACCACACCACACACTAGAAGACGAAGGGACGACGACGTTTCGGTCCGTCCTGGGACCATTCTCAAGTCGATTGTGAGAGAGACAATCGACTTGAGAATGGTCCAGGACGGACCGAAACGTCGTCGTCCCTTCATCTTCTAGTGCGTGGTCTGGTCAACCCCCCACCCGTACCATTCGGCAACACCCGAGCCCTACGGCTAGATTCACCTAACCGGTACCTTACCTATAGCCACATATATATAACCACTTTACCATGCATGCTAAACACCACATCTCACCTCAAGATGTTCCAGGCAGGAACAAAATGTTGTGCACAAAGCAACATGTTCCACAACTGCATGGTGTAGTTCCAACTACATTACCAACTGCATGGTGTAGCTCCTATCGAACTACACCATGCAGTTCGATAGGAACAACATGGCAACTATGATGATAGCAACTACAGGCCAGATTCCCTAACTGGTACACCATGCAAGGTGATGGAAAGGCTTGTAGAACATCTGGAGCGAAGGAGCATCTTAACACACCACCAGCGCAGGTTCAGGGAGAGTAAATCGTGTCTCGCAGGTTTAGTAGAATTATATGACCAGGCGACAAAAATTAGGCAAGGAGAAGGAGGAGGGTCGGCAGACCGTTGTCTTAGACTGTCAGAAAGCCTTTGACACAGTACCCCATAAGAGGTTGTTACAAAAGTTGGAGAAACCGGCAGGAATAAAAGGTAAGGTGCTCCAGTGTGGGCCGCTCCAAGCAACAGCCTGGTGGACCAAACTCTCAAGTCTAACCTGGCCTCGGGCCGGGCTTGGGGAGTAGAAGAACTCCCAGAACCCCATCAACCAGTTAATAAGGGAGTATCTATGCAACAAGAAACAGTGAGTAACTGTGAGGGGGGGGGGACATCAGAGTGGCGCTATGTCACCAGCGGAGCCCCACAAGGCTCTGTACTTGGACCCATCCTGTTTCTGATATACTCTATGTAAATGCTCTTCCAGAAGGTATAGACTAATTCCTTCCTATGTTTGCTGATGATACACAAATTATGAGAAGAATCAAGACTGGTGATGATAGACAGAGACCGCAGGATGACCTGGACAAACTGGAGGAATGGTCTAGAAAATGGCTACTAAAGTTCAACTCGGGTAAGTGTAAAGTAATAAAAATACGTGAAGGGAGGAGGCCGAACACAAGGTACCATCTGGGAGGTTGATATCACACCGAATCTGCCCCCCAGAGGCCCACATCAAAAGAATATCGTCAGCGACATATGCCCGATTGGCCAACATCAGAACTGCCTTAAGAAACTTTCATAAGGAATCATTCCGAACCTTGTATACCACTTACGTCAGACCAGTCCTAGAGTATGCAGCACTTGTGTATGAATACACAAGTGGAAAAGCAAAATTGTGTGGGGGGTGAGATGAAGAATTGAAGGAATATAGGGGTACCAAACATGAAGCAAGAAATAGGTAAATAATGGGGAAAAGATGCCCCTCAAACATTGGCAAATGCATGGAGACCTTCAGTTGTGATGACTATGTTATCTTGAGGTTATCTCGAGATGATTTCGGGGCTTTAGTGTCCCCTCGACCAGGCCTCCACCCCCAGGAAGCAGCCCGTGACAGCTAACACCCAGGTACCTATTTTACTGCTAGGTAACAGGGGCATAGGGTGAAAGAAACTCTGCCCATTGTTTCTCGCCGGCGCCTGGGATCAAACCCGGGACCACAGGATCACAAGTCCAGCGTGCTGTCCACTCGGCCGACCGGCTCCCTATTTGGCAAGATCTGGATCTGTCAACCTAAGATGTGGAGATGTGTCTTTTGAGACAAAAATCGCACCTTGTGTATTCATTCCTTACATGAAGATGTTCCAGAGTGGAACGAAATCATGTAGAAAATAAACCATTGACTAATCACTAGTTTCTTTACAAGGAAGTTCATTAACTTGTTGACCAGACCGCACACTAGAAGGTGAAGGGACGACGACATTTCGGTCCGTCCTGGACCATTCTCAAGTCGAGAATGATCGACTTGAGAATGGTCCCAGGACGGACCGAGACGTCGTCGTCCCCTTCACCTTCTAGTGTGTGGTGTGGTCAACATACTTCAGCCACGATATTGTGACTCATTGCCTTCATTAACTTGAATGCTCTTCTTAATCCCAAGAGTACAAAACTGCACTAGTTAGAAGCATGAAAAGATTATACTCTAAGATCAACAATGCCAGCAATGTGGTCATTAATGTATGTATGCATGTATGTGTATGCGTGCGTGTGTGTGCACGTGTGTATGTGTATGTGCGTGTGAGAGAGAGAGAGAGAGAGAGAAAGCTGCAGGAACATACAAGTCATAGATCACTAAGAACTCTAATTGACCCAGCCAGGATTCGAACCCATACCGGCCACGATCACCCATAAACATACACGGTACTGTGACCACTGCACAGTGTAAGCAGTATCGCGACCACTGGTGCAGTGGTCGCGATACTGTTTACGCTTAGGGGTGTTCCTGGACGGCATGGGTTCAAATTCTGGCCGGGTCAATTGGAGTTCTTAGATATATATATATACACACACACATACACACACACACACTATGTAATATGACACGTCCATCAAATTCTGGTAGAAATAAAGAAACTACTGCGTTTGGTCTGTTGTTTAGAATCAAATATTTTAACCATAATAATAATAAGAATAAAACACTAGTTATTAATTGCCCCAAGAAAATGTATAAACAATGATCTTTAATACAAGAACTTTCGAGACTACAGAAAAGCTAATTTCACTTGGTATTCCATCCTGTTAAGCAAACTTTCGCATTTATCCTGTTCGTTCTAATTGTCTTGTGCCGCCTTCACGTTTGGGGTGCGAGACCGAGACCGACTGCTCGACTTGTCCTTAACGGGAGGAGGAGACTTGCTGCCGTGACTCCGCGAACGTGACCTGTAAATAACAATTTAATACTTTTCACATCTTCAAGAAACATTTCAATTATATATAATCATACAGTATACATTACAAAAATAAATAATTTATTCGATATGTCCTGCCTAATAGCCAGAGTTGCCTAACAAGCCAGATTTGTGTCCAGATTTGTTTCTTATAGAATGATAAAACCAGCGTTGAATGTAATGAAACGCCATTTTCTGGGAAAGTCCCGGAGGCTCCCCGGAGCTATCCATGGCTGATATGGATATCCTAACTATTTTGCATCAGTCGATGTGGGTGGAGTTCTAGGCCTACCGGGGACCTCGAGCCAGAACCTGGCCCCCCCAGAGAGGCACGGGGAGCAATGGCCCATAGAAATGCACATGTGATTTGGAGCATTTTATATCTGCCATCGACCGGGACAGGCACCCAGAAAGGTAAGCGCCACAAAACAAACCCCTATTCTGGTTAACAACAAAAATCGACAAACGAGTGGACAGAACTCCACCAGGAAAACGAACTAACAAGCATGGCGTCACACGAGACGCGCTGCATGTCTGCGCAGCTTCCCCCTCCCCGGGAGGGGGAAGGGGGAGCCCCAGACCCCCGCGCCGGCCATCCCCGCCCCAGTTCTGAGGCTGGATATCAAAACCGTGAAAAACCCGCCGACCGGAGGGCGGGAGGATGCCGGGAAGCCTCCGGGACTCGCCCAGAAAATGGCGTTTCATTACATTCAACGCTGGTTTTCTGGGGGAGCCCCTACGGCTCCCCGGAGCTACCTCACCAAAGACTACCTAAAAAACAAGGGGACATACCCGGGAGGCGGTCGGAGAATCACTCCACAACACGAAGTCGAGACAACAACCCAAGGTATAGCATTCGCCAGAAAAAAGGGAGAACAGCCGCAGACGAAGAAAACCTATGATCACGACAATAGGAGCCAAAAACCACTGCGCCTGAGAAGAGCAAGAAGCACTGCCACACAGCCCCCAGAGGCCAATGCCAACACAAAAAGAAAACCGAGGCAAAGCAAACCTGACCCCAAGGAGCCACAACCACCATGAAGAAAAACAGGAGAGCACCCTGTCCAAAGACCAAGACGACACAGGCAGTGCATAAGCAGGCCGGAGGTGTAACAACGCACGATACAACCTGCGAAACTGCGCAGAAGGAATATCGATACCGAAAGCTAGCAGCAGAAACCAAGGTGCCAGACCCAGGAACAGCCCCAAGCGCCTCTACATCCTCCGCAAGCCAATCCTATGACAGCCCCAGGAGGGAAAAGAAAACGCAGGACCAAAACGAAAATGCCACAAGTGTGCAAGACCACCACCACAAGTGTGCAAGACCACCACCACAAGTGTGCAAGACCACCTCCACAAGTGTGCAAGACCACCACCACAAGTGTGCTAGACCACCACCACAAGTGTGCAAGACCACCACCACAAGTGTGCTAGACCACCACCACAAGTGTGCAAGACCACCACCACAAGTGTGCAAGACCACCACCACAAGTGTGCAAGACCACCTCCACAAGTGTGCAAGACCACCACCACAAGTGTGCTAGACCACCACCACAAGTGTGCTAGACCACCTCCACAAGTGTGCAAGACCACCACCACAAGTGTGCTAGACCACCACCACAAGTGTGCAAGACCACCTCCACAAGTGTGCAAGACCACCACCACAAGTGTGCTAGACCACCACCACAAGTGTGCTAGACCACCTCCACAAGTGTGCAAGACCACCACCACAAGTGTGCTAGACCACCACCACAAGTGTGCTAGACCACCTCCACAAGTGTGCTAGACCACCACCACAAGTGTGCAAGACCACCTCCACAAGTGTGCTAGACCACCTCCACAAGTGTGCTAGACCACCACAAGTATGCTAGACCACCACCACAAGTGTGCTAGACCACCACCACAAGTGTGCTAGACCACCACCACAAGTGTGCTAGACCACCACCACAAGTGTGCTAGACCACCACCACAAGTGTGCTAGACCACCACCACAAGTGTGCTAGACCACCACCACAAGTGTGCTAGACCACCACCACAAGTGTGCTAGACCACCACCACAAGTGTGCTAGACCACCTCCACAAGTGTGCAAGACCACCACCACAAGTGTGCAAGACCACCACCACAAGTGTGCTAGACCACCACCACAAGTGTGCTAGACCACCCCCACAAGTGTGCTAGACCACCACCACAAGTGTGCTAGACCACCTCCACAAGTGTGCTAGACCACCACCACAAGTGTGCAAGACCACCACCACAAGTGTGCAAGACCACCACCACAAGTGTGCTAGACCACCACCACAAGTGTGCAAGACCACCACCACAAGTGTGCTAGACCACCACCACAAGTGTGCTAGACCACCACCACAAGTGTGCTAGACCACCACCACAAGTGTGCAAGACCACCACCACAAGTGTGCTAGACCACCACCACAAGTGTGCTAGACCACCACCACAAGTGTGCTAGACCACCACCACAAGTGTGCTAGACCACCACCACAAGTGTGCTAGACCACCTCCACAAGTGTGCTAGACCACCACCACAAGTGTGCTAGACCACCACCACAAGTGTGCTAGACCACCTCCACAAGTGTGCAAGACCACCACCACAAGTGTGCTAGACCACCACCACAAGTGTGCTAGACCACCACCACAAGTGTGCTAGACCACCACAAGTGTGCTAGACCACCACCACAAGTGTGCTAGACCACCACCACAAGTGTGCTAGACCACCTCCACAAGTGTGCTAGACCACCACCACAAGTGTGCAAGACCACCACCACAAGTGTGCTAGACCACCTCCACAAGTGTGCTAGACCACCTCCACAAGTGTGCAAGACCACCTCCACAAGTGTACTAGACCACCTCCACAAGTGTGCAAGACCACCTCCACAAGTGTGCTAGACCACCACCACAAGTGTGCTAGACCACCACCACAAGTGTGCTAGACCACCTCCACAAGTGTGCAAGACCACCACCACAAGTGTGCTAGACCACCACCACAAGTGTGCTAGACCACCACCACAAGTGTGCTAGACCACCACCACAAGTGTGCTAGACCACCACCACAAGTGTGCTAGACCACCACCACAAGTGTGCTAGACCACCACCACAAGTGTGCTAGACCACCACCACAAGTGTGCAAGACCACCTCCACAAGTGTGCTAGACCACCACCACAAGTGTGCTAGACCACCACCACAAGTGTGCAAGACCACCTCCACAAGTGTGCTAGACCACCACCACAAGTGTGCTAGACCACCACCACAAGTGTGCTAGACCACCACCACAAGTGTGCAAGACCACCTCCACAAGTGTACTAGACCACCTCCACAAGTGTGCTAGACCACCTCCACAAGTGTGCTAGACCACCACCACAAGTGTGCTAGACCACCACCACAAGTGTGCAAGACCACCTCCACAAGTGTGCAAGACCACCTCCACAAGTGTACTAGACCACCACCACAAGTGTGCAAGACCACCTCCACAAGCGTGCTAGACCACCACCACAAGTGTGCAAGACCACCACCACAAGTGTGCAAGACCACCTCCACAAGTGTACTAGACCACCACCACAAGTGTGCAAGACCACCACCACAAGTGTGCTAGACCACCTCCACAAGTGTGCTAGACCACCACCACAAGTGTGCTAGACCACCACCACAAGTGTGCTAGACCACCACCACAAGTGTGCAAGACCACCTCCACAAGTGTACTAGACCACCTCCACAAGTGTGCTAGACCACCTCCACAAGTGTGCTAGACCACCACCACAAGTGTGCTAGACCACCACCACAAGTGTGCAAGACCACCTCCACAAGTGTACTAGACCACCACCACAAGTGTGCAAGACCACCACCACAAGTGTGCTAGACCACCTCCACAAGTGTGCTAGACCACCACCACAAGTGTGCAAGACCACCACCACAAGTGTGCTAGACCACCTCCACAAGTGTGCTAGACCACCTCCACAAGTGTGCAAGACCACCTCCACAAGTGTGCTAGACCACCTCCACAAGTGTGCTAGACCACCACCACAAGTGTGCTAGACCACCTCCACAAGTGTGCTAGACCACCACCACAAGTGTGCAAGACCACCACCACAAGTGTGCTAGACCACCTCCACAAGTGTGCTAGACCACCTCCACAAGTGTGCAAGACCACCTCCACAAGTGTACTAGACCACCTCCACAAGTGTGCTAGACCACCTCCACAAGTGTGCTAGACCACCACCACAAGTGTGCTAGACCACCACCACAAGTGTGCAAGACCACCTCCACAAGTGTACAAGACCACCACCACAAGTGTGCAAGACCACCACCACAAGTGTGCTAGACCACCCCCACAAGTGTGCAAGACCACCACCACAAGTGTGCTAGACCACCACCACAAGTGTGCAAGACCACCACCACAAGTGTGCTAGACCACCACCACAAGTGTGCTAGACCACCACCACAAGTGTGCAAGACCACCACCACAAGTGTGCTAGACCACCACCACAAGTGTGCTAGACCACCACCACAAGTGTGCTAGACCACCTCCACAAGTGTGCTAGACCACCACCACAAGTGTGCAAGACCACCTCCACAAGTGTGCTAGACCACCACTACAAGTGTGCAAGACCACCTCCACAAGTGCAGCTGACAGGGAAGGAACTCACATAAGGAGCCGCCCCGCACCAACGTTCCGCAGAAGGGCAGGAGCGAAAAGACTCATTAGGAGGAGCAAAATAGCTCCCAGGAAAACTAGTAGTGCCGAGACAGTGTGAAGAGAAGAGATATTCACAAAAGAACAAAAAGGCCAACACCCAGAAGCTGCTGGGAAGAGGACCCACAAGCCCTAGAAAGGACCGGAGGGAAGCTCAACCGAATGACGACAGACGCACCAGAAAATGGGAAGGAGCAAAACAGTCCCGAACCTTCGAGAACAAAAAGAAGCAAACACAAAGGACGAAGGCCCCAAAACCCCGTCGCACCCGAGACCAAAAGTCATGCA